AATTCAACCCCAAAAAAATAAGCAAAAATGAGTGTTGAACTTTCCTCTTCTGCAATCCAAAATGCTACAGAGCTGTGCCCTTCTAATGTACAGGCGTGAATTTGCATTTCCTTCGGCTTATTCATTTCACTTTTGGTGTGAAAAGGCCTTTACATTTGCCAAAACTTATTATTAAAAAATAAACAAGCAAGCCCAGCCCAGGTCAGAACTAACCCAAATATAACTCAATGCAATACTTTCCATAAAAAGTAACTAATTAACTCAAGTAACAGTAGTCATGTTTAGGGAGTAATGCAATATAGTAACGCAATACTTTAAAAAGTAACTTTCCTCAACAATGGTCTAGTGTTTTTAAAGTGCATCTTCTGAGTGCCATGTTTTAAGAACGCTGTGTCATGTGCAAGATGCTGCAAAATACTCAAGGGCAATGGTCAAACAATGGTCTCTCGAGCACGATTTAAAAAGAAAAACAATAGGAAAACAGCAGTGGAATACAAAAATGCGTTCTGTGTGAACAGGCCCATGGGCTATTAAATATGTTTGTCCATGCCTAGCGTAGCCAGAGTGAGAGTTGTCTGTTTAAAAATATGGTACTTTTTTATATAAATGTCAAAAGTATCTGCTAGTTTTTAGCCATTGCAGTGGCAGAGGGTGAGTGTAGTGCAGTGGGTGAGCAGCAGAGGGGGTGGAAACTGAGAGTGAATGCCATCATATGTGAATCATCTGATAAAAAGCCCCAGGGAAAGTGATGGACAGCTCATGATGTATGAGCCTTAAATTATGCAAAATACATGTGTGATGACTGCAGCCGATTTAGATCAGCTCGAGGGAGAAAATATGCAGAAAGTTGAATTTGATTTTATATGAGAGAAATAAATGTATTTTATAAATGTTCTACAAAACAGTGGCATTTACTGTCAGATTACTATATAGATTGTAATGTATAGCTGTCACATTGCACCACTCTGGTACTTTGTGCTCCCGGTCACAAACAAGCAGCTTCAATCATTCATAAATGTGCCATAAAATAGTTCAAGTTAAGTGCTATTGCTCTATATCTTGGTAAAAAAGGACTGACAGTAACAAGAGCTGATCAAATCTCTTATAGTACAGATGGAGTTTTGAGGCAGGGATTGAGGAACTGGATTTTTTGTAGGCCTAGTTCACATTAACGGCACAATGTGAGCCTGCTGTTGAAGTTTCAAAGCTGCTTTTTCACATGTGCTGCTTTTGAGTTTGGTGTGAATTCAGAGAAAAATTCTGAAATATAATTCTTGTCAGGTGTTCTACAGATATGCACCTGTTCAAACCATATGTATTTTACTTGAAAGAAAATTCATATATCCACACAAGTATTTATTTGTGGGTTTGTGCGTTTTCTCTACTATTATATTTCTCTATTAAAGTGAAAATACTGTCATCATTTACTCACTTATGTTTTTCCAAACCTGTATGAGATCTTCCTTCTTGCCAACACAAAAGAAGATATTTTAAACAATGTCTCAATGTTATGTTTGTCCTTAGGGTTGAAGTTAATGGGGCCCAATGTTGTTTTGGATACTGACTTTCATGTTTCATGAAAAAAAAAACATCCTTCAAAATATCTTATTTTGTACTGTGCAAGAGACAGTGGTCCTCATTTATCAAAAGTGCGTACACCAAATTTCCAGCGTACACCTGGCGTACACCCAAAACCACGGTGACTTTGAGATGTATCAATATGGACGTTGGCGTACGGCACGCTCAAATCCTACGCCAGCTCAGGAGGTGGTGTACGCAGAAATGCGCAGAAAAACAATTCCTAACACCACAAAATGCACTGACAAACTAAAAGATATTATATATTATGACCCACTGTAAAACAAAAAAACAACAACATAGTAATTATAAACTTCAGTGTTTATTTTTGTGCAACATGGACTTCAATTTTTAATTTGTGTGACTTTACCAAAGCATTTGATTTGTAAGCATATGTATTCCTTCAGTTGCGAGCCTGTGCGCTTTACCCTGACGTTTCAGGGTTTGGCCCGGCAGGTGCGCACGGACTGGGTTCGGTAACAAAAGGCTTTCAATGACCAAAAAATTATTCAGACTGACAAAATAATAAAAAATACATTCTTCTTATTTTAAATAATACAAATAATAATAAAGACATTCTTCTTCTAAATAACAATAAGCGTCATTAATAATACAAATCATACTAATAATAAGAAGAATATTACAAATTGTCATGCAATTATTAATGTGAATGAATGGTACTCCACATCACATCATCATCATCACTATTGTACACCCCAATACATGTAACGTGATTCGAAATTGAATGCTAATTCAAAAGACGTGCTGTAAAATATTGCATTGTGATAGGTCATTTCGGCTCCACGTCAGAAGTTTCTCTTCTTTGCCGTCTTCCGTGTGTCCATGGCGTAAAATCAGGGCGTGGGGGAAGCGGAGACTTGAATATATAGGGGCGTGTTATTCTAATGACGATCGTTTTCAGCCGCAGGATTTATCAAGGGCAGGTATTGCGTACACCTCGATTTCAAAGGTACGCACAGCTTCATAAATCAGGCGGTGAGAGGAGTGTAAGCATAATCTACGCCAACTTATACGCCCGTTTCTACGCAAGAATGATAAATGAGGGCCAGTATGTCACTGTCATACAGGTAAGTTAAGAGTGTGTAAATGATTAATTTTATGCTTCTTTAATTTACTTTCCTTCGGTTACGCTTTTGATTATACAGCCTGTACTGCGTAAGTAAAACTAATTTACAGCATAACTTTAGGTAATTATTGTGTACCTATAAAGTAAGTATGTGTTGGCATAAAGGAACAATATGTAAAGTTTGGGGAATAAAGGGGTAACAACCAGGAAAATTAACAAATGATTTATACAGTAAGTATTTTAGAACAAAGGGGTACTTATTCTACTATTATGCAACATAGAACAAGAGGGTAACATGCACCACTTTTATTTACAGCCTGGAGATGTCACATACTTCATGAAACAAGAGGGTAACAATCACCACTTTAATTTACAACACACAGATGTTAGACTTACCCTGTAACTTCATAGAACCAGAGGGTAACAAGCACCCCTTACCTTATAACTATATGGAAGAAGAGTATATTTCCCAGTATTTAAAAAAAGTAGATCTGAGGAGTTGTAATAGTTTTAGTTTTAGGCTACTTGAAACATGGAAGACCAAACTTAACCAGTGCACTTTTGTTATAATATAAATGCACTGATATGTACCCTGTAATTAAAAAAAAGCCTTTACGCATAGCCTACTCTATTACAAATGTACGCAGTGCGGTCTATGTTCTCGCTAAATTGCTCCCAAACGTAAGATTGTTGCCTATCATAATAGTAGAATAAGTAGGCCCTACCCCTTAGTTCTAAAATAGGCCCACTTAAAGAATAAATAATTTGTTAATTTTCCTGGATGTTACCCCTTTATTCTCCAAACTTATACCTACACGCACTGTACGTACTTTATAGTTAGGCCTAGACTATAATTACCGAAAGTTATGCTGTAAAATCGTTTTACTTACGCAGTACTTTGCGGGCTGTGACACGAAGCGTTGCGTTGCCCATTCTTCCCTTTTGGAACTGAACCTTTTCAAACCAAAGAGAACTGTATGATTTCCTTTCCTCTTTTCTTCTGTCTATCTAGGGCAGGTCGTTGTTTAACCGTTTGATCAGCTGACTGCGTGTCTCCTCCCACGAGTTCAAATCTCATTAAAGCGTGCACTTCATCTCTCTCCTCCAACAATCTGCTCTTCACTCTCCTTTCTTTACCTTTTTCTTTCTCGTTCTCTCACTCTCGATCCTCGCCGTATCCAGTGCATTACAGTCTCCACAGTGCACTCGATTTTGGGGAGAGGACTTTGAAAATGAGAATGTGAACAACTCTGGGGAGCCGAGGGGTGACAGAAAAAGATGCAGAACAGTTTCATTGTGTTACGTCGTTGTCAGGGGACTTTAATTGTTTCTGATTTATTTTAATGCAGAACCGAGAGAGAGAAAGACAGACATGCAGATGGGGGGGAAGAAAGTCTGTTGCCCTGTTTTTGTCTAGTTCTTTTGTCACAAGCACTGTCAGCCTTCACAGGAATGAAAGATTTTGTGACAGAACAGCACTAATGACAGAGCTCTCTTTGAGGTGTTTCCCTCTGTCTTTCTTTCTACACGTCTGTCGGGTCTCTCTCTGAGAGCCTGTCAAAACAAACAATAATCACAACTATACATGATATGTGTTTTTATTCTGACTGATATCCTAATTAGCTGCCGTTCTAATTAACCACAAGCAAAGGTCGGGTTTACTGCTTTAAATCCCATGATTGACAGGAGCTGTGTATCCCAATCTCACTGATTTTTTTTAGAATGATATTTTGGTCTTCATGACAGTACTTCAATCTAATATGTCATCGTCAAAAAGATACAAGAGTTCTGAGCAAGGGGAAAGGCTTGAACTTTGAGTAATGAGACAGCCGTGGACAGATCATTCACAAACATCAGGAAGCACTCAGGAGCTGATTTGTTACCTATTGATGTTAGATGCAAAAATGTCACAGGTTGCGGTGTCAGGGTACCGTTGAAGAGGCGTCACGATCTCCAGAGCAATTTCCAAATTTCATCATATAGCTCTGTCCTTACAATGAGTTTGCTCATACTACCATCTGCTGGCCTCAAGTGGTAGCAATTGTGCTGTACAGTGCTGTCCATGCTGGCTGTCAGATTCTTAAATAATACAATCTCAGAATCAAGATGTTTATGATAAGGTGAATGTTAAGTAAGTTTAAACTTCCAAAACGTTAAACCTTACAAGGCACTTTTTGTTTGAATACTGTCTACACAGACATACACAGACATACACAGACAGACAGACAGACAGACAGACAGACAGACAGACAGACAGACAGACAGACAGACAGACAGACAGACAGACAGATAGATAGATAGATAGATAGATAGATAGATAGACAGACAGATAGATTCAGCTGGTTTCTATAGCCTCTCCGTCAGTCCATTCTGAGTGTCCATGAGACGGGTCACATGACTGACTTCCGCTCCCCGGAATGCTCTTCTCAAAGTGGACAACACAAATCCTGTAGACCTCCAGCAAAACAATGAGGATGTTCTTGCATGTGAAGAAGATCATCAGCTGGTTCAGAACATTCTCACGTATCATGAGGTACAGACGGTAAATTAGGAAAGGTCCATCCTGCAGACCCACCGTTAGCAGAAGGCTCCAGACTTCACTCGAGCAGCAGGAAACGGTCCAGCCAGCTCGGCCATGCTGGGCAGCCTCTGGATGATCTTCCTCCTGGACCTTGGGGTGGCTGGTCTGGGTAAGAACAAGAGGAAACTGCATCAAGGCCCAGGAGAACAAACTTAGCCCAACAATGATCACGGCCTGCTTGGTTTTCACTTGTGGCTCCTTAAAAGTGTCAAAGATGTCCAGGATATCAGCTCCAAGCCCCACGTAAACCATGAGGAGCTGAGATAGCTGGTCACGTGACATGTCGCCCTTCGGCATCAGCCAGCGGCCCAGAACCAACACTATCAACATGGTCTGCTCCAAAGCTTCCACCCAGTTCTCAGGATCAAGTTCTGCCAACCCCTGTCTCACACACACACACACACACAAATAGGTTAATCGCCATGGTAACAGACCAGACAGCGAGAGCACACAGCGAGACTGTGATAATTTGAATGGATGAATCATGTGTTGTTAAGATGTTATTGTAATACCAGATTAAAAAGGTTCAAACATTTTATAAGAAAAAAATGATTGCTTTGACTCATTGGAGTGCCTGAACAAAAGATCCATCGGAGGATTAACTTAATGAAATAGGACAACTGAGATGATATGGTTTCCCAAAAAGCTTTTCAGTCAAGTCACTGATTAGCTTTTGCAGCATATTCTTACAAAACATCCTGTGAGCTTTCCACCCACCTGAACGCAAGACAAAGAAAATACCACAGTCATCAGTATTACAAATATTCAGATACAAAGCTGTCAGGAGGAAATGGAGGTCTGAACCTTTAAAAACAGGATCAAGTTTCAATGTGTAAAAAAGCATTATATATGCAACATATTCGAGCTGGGTTATAAAAAAAAAACAATCATTTATATACATTTTTAAAACCATGAGCTTCAGTAAGTTTCAGATTACTTTGCCAGAGCCTAACAAACCTAGAAGTGGGGGTATTCAGAATACATAAAACTGCAGCCGAACTCGCAACACATAATATAGGAACACATCAAATTTTATAAGAAGAGTAAAATTCTTCTTTATTCTTCTAAATTATCAATTTATTCTAACTATTATTATGATTGATTTCTAACTTCAGAAATTAAGAATATTTTGTATTTCCAAAAATACTTATATTTTTGTAATATTTCTATCTTTTTTCTTTAGATTGTTCTTTAAAAAAAAAAAAAAACTTTCAAGAACTAAAATTTGTGAAAACAATTTTTTAATTAAATGCCAAAAAGGTAAGATATTTAATTAATGTATTGGGTTCTTACGAATAGAAAGACAGCTGACGATACGTTTGCATTTTCATATAAATTAAGACAACATCAAAGCCTGTCATTTTATTTCTAAAGCAAAAATTAAGATGTGAGAAAATTTTTGAGAACTTTTACTACTTTTTTTGCAAAGAATTTTTCTTAAAAAGATTTGAATCTGGATTATAATCATCCTGGAGGAAGCTATTGTTTTAGTTTTTATAGTTTTAGAGTCAGGTTTTGCGGTTAAGACGTTTAAAAATCTGTGCCTGAATCTTTCCCTATCCCCCCCCCCCCCCCCCCAGAATTGCAGACATTTTACAGAAAACAGTCTGCTTTCCACGCGAATCAATTTCCATCCGAGCATTTTATGTTTATTGCTTTCCCAGAAATATGAGTACTGAAATATCCAACACAGTAGAGAGAGAGAGAGAGAGAGAGAGAGAGAGAGAGAGAGAGAGAGAGAGAGAGAGAGAGAGAGAGAGAGAGAGAGAGAGAGAGAGAGAGAGAGAGAGAGAGAGAGAGAGAGAGAGAGAGAGAGAGAGAGAGATTCTAAGTGATTTGGTTCAAAGCTGAATTCATTCTTAACTGGTGAGGTCTGAGTTTTATTGTTAACGATTGCTTTCCACCCACCATTGTTATTGGGATCTGTGAGAAGAATTGTGGGTCAGAGTTTGTGCTCGAGTTGATGGGCAGATTGGACTGTAGGAGGTTCAGCTCCAGGAACCAGACTGATGGAATCACAGTGCACAGATAGAGAAACACCATAGGTGAGAACCTGCAGAAGAGTGGAAGAAACATCACATTCATGGATGGACACATTTGCTTATACTTTACTTTCTACTTATAAAGCCACCAAGTAGTTCTATGTGTGTCAGATGCATCTGATTGGGTGGTAAAGCTGGGTCACACTACAGAGTCCAGTGCTGTAGGCACACAAGCCCAACGTTGACTGCAAATTACTCCCATTTGCAAATCCCCACTGACACAAGCAAGCCTCTCTAAAGAGCACAGAGACTTCAAAGTGTAGTGTGCAGGAGAGAGATAGTATGCATAGAAAAGTAGCACGGCAGAGAAAGAGAGTTATAAAGGATGAGATGGAGATCATGGTAGAGTGAAGGGGATGATGAGAAAGACGAAGGGAGGGAGGATATGTTCTCAGCAGGTCCTCCGTCCATGTCAGTGGGAGGGGAGAGTCTCATTACATACTTTTGTACAATGTACATACTTTTCTTAAAGTCTGACTGAACGCGACCATGTGCCGCTCTGTGAATGCAAAGGTTGGGAAGGCAAAGGTTGTTTTTCTCCGTCGCTGTGTTGAGAGGAAGGGTTATTATTATCATCCGTCCCCGCAAGACAGACTGGAGTGCCGTGCCGAGCTTGAAGAAACGAGAAAGTAATTTCCCACGTTCTCGTTAGTGTTAATCATGGCGCCCTGCTTCTAAGCCCCATGTCTTTTTATACCAGAACGTCTGGAGTAACTCAGTAAAGTTATTTTAAAAAGGCAAAACCGATTCTCTTTTTTTCTGAGAATGTCAAGACAATTGGCAAGGCTATTTTTGCCAAACACAACATGTCCTACACAGTCAGTGGAAAGAGTCCTTAATAGGATAGTTCACCAGAAAAAGACAAAATCTGTCATCATTTACTCATAGATAGATTTACCCACATGTTGTTCCGAACTAATATTATTTTCTTTTTTCCACAAAAGATGTTATTTCTATGATAAAGTGTTCAGTAAATTACCTTCTTTTTTTTTCCGATCAGGAAATTGATTTATATCAAAAATCTATTTATATCATTCTAAAGTGACTGCCTTGCTGTTTATATTCAACATGTTTGCTTTTTCTAGTTATACTGTTCAAAAGTTTGGGGTCAGTGTGATTTTTTTTTTTTGTTGTTGTTGCTTATTTTATGAAAGAAATCCATATTTGCATTCATCAAGGATGCAGTAAATTGATCAAAAGTGATAGTAAAGACATTTATAATGTTAAAAAATATTTCTATTTCAATTAAATGCAGTTCTTTTCGTTTTTCTGTTCATCAAAGAATCCTGAAAAAAAAATTATCATGGCTTCCACAAAAATATTAAGCAGCACAACTGTTTTCAATATTAATAATATAATAATGTAAGGAATGCTTCTTGAAAACCAGATCAGCATATTAGAATGATTTCTGAATGATTGGCAGCTGAAAATTCAGCTTTGCCATCACAAGAACAAATGAAATTTTAAAATATATTGAAATAAAATAACTTTTTAAATTGAAATATTTCACATTATTACTGTTTTTACTGTATATTTGAAAAAAAAAAAAACAGCCATAAGTGACTTCTTTCAAAAAAATTAACCGACCCCAAACTTTTGAAGGACAATGTAGGCCTACTGTATTTTTTTTTTTTTTTTTTTAAACAATCAGTCAAAAAATGTTGCAAAAGATAGAGTTCTATTTTACGGCAATATGAGCTCTGCAATAATTTCAGGGACATCAGGATCATTATATTTATGTTAGAACTATGATAGCATTCAGTAACCTCACCATTTCCATTCTGCTTTGCGTGTGTATTTGATTGTGATTGCCATCTCGACCCCGAGCAGTGCCACCCCCGTCAGCAGCAGCCAATAGGAGGACTCTCCTGTCACCTCCACCACCCGCCACACCGTCAGGACGCCATGCACCGCGAACAGGAAGCGACTCAGAAGAGCCAATAAGATGTTCAGAACCCGGCACATTGTCCAATCAATGCAGTCCGAACCATGCAGACAGAACTGAAGGACAAAGATTTTTTTTTATGATGCATTTTTTTAATCTATAAATTAAATATTTAAAATACAATACGTGCACCTAAAACATTACTTAGCTTTATTCAATTTTGAATTATTCATTCATTGGTCATTTTAATCATTGAATGAATGGTTCTTATATCAATTTAAAAATAAAAACTTAGTTTCTAATTGAATTAATCAGAATTGTACACTATTAAAACCCACGTGTAAACAAATGCTTAGTCATACTCTGTCAAGTTGTCTAATTACCTGATCAAGCCTTTTTTAAATGTAGTCTAAAATGATGTCAGACTTACTTTCAGTGGGTTCAGCCAAAGGATCCAGATTCAAATACTGCAAAGTGACTTTTAGAAAATATATTCCACTTGTTTTCACAGATTACCAAAACAAAAGCTTCTACCATATCCACAACCTTCTGTCTACCCCCTAAATTGGAGGCAGTCCTTTTATAACTGCAAACACAACTTATCCCCCCTGAGGTTTCAGGGACAGTGAGAGGATGTGAATGGGTGTGTGTGTGTGTCTATCTTGTGCAGATAAAAAGCAGTCTTTTGGAAGAGAGTATGATGGAGTGTGTGTGTGTGTGTGTGTGTGTGTGTGCATTTTGAGGTTATTGTGAGTGAACATGTCCCTGATAACACTTCCTGCTGCCGTATGATCATCCATTATGATGTCATCCTTCAGGGCCCCAAGAACAAAGTTATCTCCAATAAGGAGCTAGTCCTTTAGCCGGCATTTTCAGACACATTTTACACATACACACCCATGATTTCACCATGCCATAGTAGTACCACCCAAAATCATGGGCAGTGATAAGACACCTCCACAGAAAAACTGAGTAATGCAACCTTTACAGCTGCCAAGGGATCAATTGAGAATCGGTTATTGTGATTATGACTATAATTATCAACACTGTCACAATTCTCAGTCTTCATGTTTTGTATTATTTAACTGCTTGTACATAGGCTATGTGTTTGTAATTATAATTATGTTCAATAAACATAAGTTAATACTGAGTGACTTACATTTTAGAAAGTTACTTTGTCTGTTTTTTCCTCGTCAACAAAAGTAGTTCCAAACAGCAAACCTGTTGCGTGTCTCCAAGGAACACTGGCGTTATCTTCCTGAATTAAATGGCTGAGTGAATGATTCAATGGCTCACTCACAAACATAGACTTGTTTTATTCATGTTTTAATTGCACCGCGAGGAGTGAGGAAGCTTCCAGAGGATCTGTGAGTGAGGATGCACATGCAGAAGTCTTTCTTGTCGAAAAACTCTTTAAATAAATTCTTCTCCCCCTTCACATCTGTCACAATAATTTTAATTCATTATGAATTTATGTTTTACCGCAGTTTAAATAAACCATATATCTCACATATTTCAACAGGGCATCTTGCTTTATTATTATTTATCATGAATTCCTTAAATAACTAAACTAATAACATAAGGGCAGATCCTTGCAGCACAGCTGATGACGATTTGAAGTGACGCTTGAGTGATCAAAAATATTCCAATATCAGATTTCCTTCTAATCTTCCGCCCTCATTTTCTTTCCTTGCATCCTTTTCTCACATTCTAAGGGAATGGAGCTGATACAAAGGAAGCAAGGAAATGAGGATGCACACCTCCAGTTACTTTGTTCATGAATAATGAATCAGTTGAATGAATGATTCAAATGACTCCCTCATGAAGACGTAATTTGTCGCCACCTACTGGCGAAACGATGTAACCTGCAGAGAGTAGGCTATTTGCCTTATTCACCTGGCGGCCATTTTGATAACTCGTACGCCGTTGAGGGATACACAAACCCGGAAGTTTGACTCCGACGCAGCAGCATCAACAATGGAAACTCCGTGGACCACCAATCTCTCCTGTCTGCCCGAATTAACTATACTATTAGCCTAGCTAGCTGCTAGTGATACAAGCTCGTTATGGAGACGGCTCAGCCTCACAGCACCAGACATAATAAAACTTACCTTAAAATTACGACCAGGATCCCTTCTGATGTTTATTATCCATTGTCGACGTAGTCCATGATCTTTGGGGAAACGGTGAAACGTTTGTCCTCGGTTTGATTTTTTCCTGTGTGATGAAGTGCATTGGGGAACACCAAGGGGGTAATCCATCGACCGGAAGTTGAAGCCGGCCGGGTGCCGCCATGTTGTAGCAGAACTTCACTTGCGTTAGCATTTCCATTGACTCCCATTCATTTTGGCGTCACTTTGACAGTGATTAACTTTACGTCTGGGGCGTTTAAAGACTCCATTTGTCCATTATTTATTTCTAAAGAAACACGACAATGTATAAAAGGCTCCATTACCTTCTATGTTACATTATGGCCCCGTAGAAACAGATTTAGTAAAAGTAGGCTAACGATTGCGTCATAACCACTCGACTCTCTGTCGCGCTGTACAGAAATTACCGTACAGACAGGAGGAGAAGCTCGCAGGCAATCGGGGGGACGTCCCGTCAAGGGAGAAGCCCATAGATAATGAGTCCATAAAAGCAACGGAATACTTACTCCTGCTCACTCACGACAAAGAACGCTTTGCTCAAGTTCCCCGTCTCTGCAAGATTAAAGGTGATGATACACAGGGCAACTTTTTGAGCAATGTTGCTGGGCAATCTTGCCGAGCGATTGTTGCTTGGGCACTTTCCCATTGAAAATGGGCAATACATTCCTATCTGGATAATTTAGATCGGTCGTGGGCCCTGTGTCTTATCTGGTTGCCCGTTGACGGCAACATTGCCCAGCAAGATTGCTCAAAAAGTTGCCCTGTGTATCATCACCTTAACGTTGTCAATTTTCACGCACAGCTACTAGAAGATTAACGTCTGTCAAACAGGTTGCTCACGTCATCAAGCTTAGTTTGAGTCGGTTTGAGTCTGCGCGTCACGAACGGAAGTGCTCAAAAATCGCTAAAAATGGGCTTCAACTGTCTCAACTGAGTGTCAATGAGATGGCTCTGTCCACTTCTTATAGGCTATGTGCACAAGCGTAATTTCGAACTTCCGCTATTGTCAGAAGTCGGCATGTCAGTTTCCGGTTTACGGCTGTTCATCCGCATCCGCTATAAACGAACAAGATGAGTGCTGCTGTTGTACGAAAAAAAGAGTTGTTAAACACATCTAAGTTTCTAAGAACTGTAGGTGGATCTATCATCTAACGCCCGTTTCACACATACCCCGTTTGCAGTGCGTGTTGCGGTGCAGGAGCAACGCGCGCTATAGTAGGCTACTTTCACATATGATGCGTTTGCAGTGAATAACTGATCCGCGGCTGTACCACAAACACATACTTACTATTTTTATTTAAAATCCAAAAGTTGTGCTGCAACTTTTATTTCAAAAAAAAGTCGTCAGCATTGCGATTCTCTTTGTACACACTCTTTAATGGATGTATGCACGTTTAAACACAATTTAAACAACGCAAGTTAGGGCTATTATTCCATGCATTACTTATATTAATTTGCTCAAGCAAGTGGTCAAATTTACTATATTAAAATGGCAAATATTTTAAATTAAAACTTAAAATTGGCAAAAACAGCCGACTCACATGCCTTTTCTTTTGCATTTAAATTGTAATAGCCTACAATAGATCTTGCATGTCACAAAGAACTTGTTTTTCCACCTCCACGAATGAGACGAGTGTTGTTCATTATGTCGCCTTAATTGTAGTTTTCCTTGATTTACCCCGGTTTTCACAGTCTTCAGATGACTGTGAAAAATAGTAGTACCGGTATATTAAATGCATTTATGGTGAGATTACTACATTTTATTTAATGAAACGCATTTATGGTGAAATTACTACATTTTCAGGTCAATCTTTGTGCATTTTGACCACGAAACATGCGGTGTCACTTTAATGCAGCACAGCAGAAATAGATTCGGTGCAGTAACGATCGCTGCACTGCTGTTAAACGTGCCGCATCTGAAACTGTGTGAAAAGTGAAAGCCCTAACCTGTTAACATGGTGCGTTAGGAGCACTGCTGTGTGCCACTTTGCTCTGCTTCAAGTCGCTAACAGCCATTTGAGCTTCAAACGCTTCCCGAAAAACACCAACCTTCGTGCGCAGTGGCTGCACAAAATAGACATTTTGGGCGACGCGCAAAAAAAAAATAGTAAGTATGTGTTTGTGGTACAGCCGCGGATCAGTTATTCACTGCAAACGCATCATATGTGAAAGTACTATAGCGCGCGTTGCTCCTGCACCGCAACACGCACTGCAAACGGGGTATGTGTGAAACGGGCGTTAGATGATAGATCCACCTACAGTTCTTAGAAACTTAGATGTGTTTAACAACTCTTTTTTCCGTACAACAGCAGCACTCATCTTGTTCGTTTAGCGGTTGCGGATGAACAGCCGTAAACCGGAAACTGACATGCCGACTTCTGACAATAGCGGAAGTTCGAAATTACGCTTGTGCACATAGCCTATACTGTCTATGGGGAACACAGCAGTGAGGCGCCATTGCACGGAGAAATCGCGTTGTGAGAACAACCGGAAGTGGTAAGTGTACCCCTCAGGCTCGATGGAACGTTCGAGGTGAATAAGGCGAATAGCATTCTGATGAACATACCTATTATCATACATTCATTATTATTATCAAATGACATAATTATGAAATAGTATAACATTATTTAATACTAGGTTAATATTACAGATCATTTAAGTTGTCCTGGCAAATACATTAACTGAATTAATATGAAATGGGATACATTTGATTTATAGAGTGTCAGTCTTTGTGTTATGGTGCCACCTACAGGAATGAAATGTCTACGACATGACAGACTGACTCCCATCACACCACACAATAAATCTAGAGCAAGGCACACTACATCAGAAGTGAACATTTGTTTAGGGCGGACAGGCTGTCAGGGGGGATTCAGGTGAAGACAAACTGTGTTTGTGGATGGATTGAGTGGCCATTTATTTTGGTCATTAAGAAATCCATCTCTACTTCTAGCTAGGCCCATCAACCTCACTACCCACTGCTATTTATGGACCCTCTCAGAGTGCTTCTGTCATTCTCCTTCATGAAATCATCAGCATTTTCAAAAAGGGAGAAGATGGGAAAATGCCTACACTTTTAGATCTCTCTCAGGGGAGCGCCGGATATCTGTGAATGATAGAATAGCTTTTGAAGAAATGATCCATCAGCACTCAGTTGCCTTTATAGTCTTCTCAGCACAGGCTGTCTGTGATGTAGAATGCTGTCAGTGTCTGTAGGCTATGAGATAAAAAAGATCAGAAGTTCGATTTTTGTATGTACATGAATGTACCGGTATGTATACACAAAGCACCCAGACAAAGAAACACAGCTCACAACAAATAACAATGACAGAAACGGATTATGCGTTAAACAATATCATTATTGGTCCAGTTCTTAACCCACCCTGACAGTTATGTAATGTATATTGTGTTAATATAATTAAAACATGGGACACATTTACATATAAAGTGACCCCAAAAACTACTTAGACATTAGCGAGACTCAAAAATCAAGTATTGCAC